TTTACGTTTTGAATACCAAAATAATTTTAGCGGGCATAGACTCTGAAAAACGCCAACGAGAGATGTACATTTCTTTAATGAGATAATTGAACTATGGTAAAATACGCTTGGCTTGAAAGGAATATATAAATACACTGTGATGTTTAAGAGTGGACAGAAGTTACATTTAGGAATTTCTCTGACAATGAATCTAGAAGATTCATTGTCAGATGTAACATTGACAGGAACCTTTTTTCATTGACAGAGAAATCTAAATTCTGTTCACTCTTAAACATCACAATGTATTTATATATTTCTTTCAAGCCAAGCGTATTCTAATAAATAGACGACAAATTCGGTCTGACCGTCCGTGTGTCTAAAACCGCTCTAACTAGGTCCACACTTGCTGTACATAAATATTATACCTATTTGGAATCAGGATGATCCCGGGATTGGAAAAACTGCCTTTGATCTGGTGTTTGAACATCCACCATTGGGATTTGTGTCAGGATGAGAAGGGGACGGTTAAAATTCAAATTTTAAATAACTGAAAAAAAATAGTCATTTTAAAAGTTTTAACTTATATTGAGTTTAAAGTAACACGAAAAATTGTGAATTTAAAAATCTTTGTTTTAGATTCAGTTAAAAATGTGTCTAAAACTTTGTGAATTGAGGAAATCAATTGTATTTCTTCGAAATGCCAAGGACTCAGAGTTAAACTGAGTGGTTTCTAATCTTCAGTGGATACTCGTATTTGAATAGACGCTTCGTTTATTTATTAAACAGTATATTTACTCATTTTCATCTACCGGCCTCAATGTTCGAGAAACCTTATTAAGAAAAAAAAAGCGCAAGTTTTTCTTTAATAAGATCTCTTGAACATTCATTGTTTCCATAATTACACCATTCCTGTCAGATCTATTAACATAGTGTGCAATATCTAATACCAAAACTGATGGAAACAAAAGGAAAAAATATCTAAATGAAATCTGATAGATAATATACCCAAAACATAAAAAAAAAAATAATAATTTAAAATTTAAAATTCCTAGCATCTGTTGTTCCTGCGCATGTCTAGTTTCGCCAACAAAAACGAATTTAGTCCGATCAAATTTTTAAGGACGAAACGTGTTACACGAAAGCTTTTTCTATTTTGTCATATCTCTATCTATAAAAGGCAGGATGTGTGTGTGTGTGTGTGTGTGTGTGTGTGTGTGTGTGTGTGTGTGTGTGTGTGTGTGTGTGTAACGAATGCACGGCCACAGTTTTCGACGGATTTGCACCAAAATTTACATGCACATGCTCCAAGTTAGCGGGAAAGGCCAACACTGACTTTGCATTTCCCAACTTCCATCGATAGCGGAAATAATCGATTTTTTCATGCTTCTACAGCAGTTTTCATGTAGTTTGCGACCATTTTGTACTGGCCAGAGTGAGAGCCTATAGCTGGCTGCCACGAATAGGCAGAAAGATTCTATTGGCCAGCGTGAGAGCCAACAGCTGACTGACACGAATGTTAACTAGCATACTAGCATGCAAAAAAATCGATAACTGCATTCGTCACAAGTGGGAAGAATTTAAATCTGCATGGCACTTTACTCCAATTGGCTCATTCGCTTGCTTAAACTCAACGTTGATTCTGATTCCGCAGAACTGGGTTGGGTGTGAAAAAGTATTTGTTGTTAACATTCTTTTTTCATTCGGTTTTTCCAATTATGAGTCCTTTTTTAAAGTCCTTTTTTTGTGTTCATTTTGTTTAGTTCTTTTTTCGTAACAGATTTAATGTTTAGTATAGAGCTTAGAAAAAATTCGCAGTGTGAGATAGGCAAGAAGTAAGGCATGTAGCAACATTAGCACGGCAAAGGGCACTCCTTTAAAGGCAAGGAAGGGCAAAAATATTTTAAGTCAAGTGATAGCGATTGCTTCATGAGTCGTACGATTTTTGAATCAAGCACAGGCAACGCTGGGCCATGCTGTAGTATATATATATATATATATATATATATATATATATATATATATATATATATATATATATATATGTGTGTGTGTGTGTGTGTGTGTGTGGGAAAATATATAGAAAATAGGAAAGAACTCGTTAGGTAAATAATCCAAAGTTCTTTAGTATTTTTGTTATTATTTAAAAAAAAATAGTCCTCGATACAAAAGTGGAGCATAAATATAAATATTTATTTAAAAAAATGATTCCATCGCTACTTTTCGGCTCTTGTTTTGAAACATGATAACTCTTATGTAGCGATGGAATCGATGGAATATATATATATATATATATATATATATATATATATATATATATATATAAAACAAAAATTACCTCAACATGATATAGTCTATTTCAAGCCGTTCTGTACGCGGCTATCATTAGCGGGGCTGAAATAGACTGTACCATGTTGAGGAATTTTTTGAGTTTTTTTTCTGTAAAAGTACATATTCTCTCTTATAATAAATACATCGAGCTCTCTGTGGATAAGTTTTAATGATTAATATTACTAGGATCCACCCGGATTATATACCAACGAATCGATTACCTGTAATATATATATATATATATATATATGTGTGTGTGTGTGTGTGTGTGTTATTTATAATAAAAAAAGAGTACTCAATATCAATAACCTACCATGATTCATACATATATATATATATATATATATATATATATATATATATATATATATATATATATATGAATTTTGATAAAAAAATTTTATTAGCAGACATATGTCTCAGTAAAGCTTACGAGCATACCATGTGATATACACAGCGATTGCAAGGTAACTGTATGAAGACAGTCACCGAATAATTCATGGACTGTTTTCTCATACAACAGGTGAGAATAAAAACGTTCTTTAATGATAAAATTAGCATCATGTCTAATGTCAGTAGATTTTGAAAACTGGAAGAATCGTTTACACATTCATGCTTCGAATCAAGCACACACCTCAGTGGCGTTCCTTTGAGACGAAGAACACATTTAATAGGTTATTTCATAATTTTTTCATCATTTTTCTTGTTTAGATATTGAGAATTCAGTCTTCTCCAAGAGCTGAGCTTCCAATCATCATTGAAAAAGACTCGGAATTCATTAAAGAACCACATTTCTGTGATTTCGATCGATAAGTTCAAAACTAGAGAAATTCGTTTTCTTTTAGTTTTGTTTTTTTTAAACTGTTTACCAATTCTTCGTTAGGAATGCGTTTGATCGTGTTTGTAGCCGCTTGGAACTGTAAAGTTAGTTATTGAATTTCTTCTTTATTTTGCAATTTTAAAAAAAATTTTCATATCGCTGAGCGATTAGATTGTATATTATCGTATGACTAAACAATTTTCCCAAAACAAAAAAACAAAAAAAAAAAAGCAATCAGTGAAATTACTCTTTTCGACTGATGTCTTTCTGACTTTGTTAATTCTTAACGGAGTATTCTTTATTTTTATTCCTATGCCTGGATTTTTTTAATCCTGAAGACATGAGGCAAGCAGTATATATATGATATAATGGAATATGCGTACCCCTGTTTTCCCCCTCACTGGAATATGATTGGATGGTGTCCGTCATAAATACAGACGGACGTGTAGAAGAGTCAAGAGCCTTAGTCTGAGAGCTAAGACTATAACGACGCCCATTGGACTACGCCATTGATCTACACTTCTTACCTGCGACTACGACGCGTACCAGTCGATTATTGTTACCGTATTCTACTTGGTTATAATAGCCAAAACCACTTAGCTACTTCGTTCAAATATATCCCTTTCTGGGACATATCAATATATATATATATATCTGATCAGGAGGTTTTGAGGAGCGTGTAACCACCTCTGAACCGGGGTGGGAGCAGCGTCCTAGCTATGGGCAAATAGTTAACACCAAACTCGGGTCAAAACGCTATGCAAGTATAAAAATAGATTTTTCTAGTACAAATACCAGCAAAACATTATGACCAATACATTTGACTGTCGACAAAAACCCACTTTACAAAAATACGTCAATGAAACCTAATCTACAAACGGAATTTTTACAAAGTGTTATGGTCCGGTTTCTTGTACCACTGTGATAGTCCAAGGTAGAACCAATAAAGAAGAACTCGAACACGGATATGAAATAACACAGATATATTACAAACAGGAATATATACAGAGAAGT